GTCTGTGAGAAGCCACCGACTTAGGCGTGGGACACTACAAATTAGCTGGGCGACGGACCCAGCCCCTATGGAGAGGTGCGTACCGCAACTGTGAATATCTCTTCTTCGGTGGCGCTCCCTATGGGGCCACGGACCCTGTGAGGGGTGTGCCGAAATGGGTGCGGCGGACGCATGCGGACTGTGGCACTGGGGCCTTCGGTGGAGCTCCCTATGGGGCCACGAGACGTGGGAAGGGTGTGCCGAAATGGGTGCGGGGGACACATGCGGACGGTGGCGCTGGGGCCTTCGGTGGAGCTCCCTATGGGGCCAGGAAACGTGTGAGGGGTGATGAAGTGTGCGTTGGGGATGCAAGTGGACGGTGGCACTGGGGCCTTCGGTGACGCCCCCTGTGGGGTCACGAAACGTGTGAGGGGGGGTGACCCCTGGTGTGTGCCGAGATGGGTGTGGGGGACGCATGTGGACGGTGGGGCTGGGGCCTTCGGTGGAGCTCCCTATGGGGCAACAAAACGTGTGAGGGGTGTGTCGAAAAGGGTGTGGGGGACGCATGCGGGCGGTGGCACAGGTGCTTTCGGTGGAGCTCCCTATGGGGCCACGAAACGTGTGAGGGTGTGCCGAAATGGGCGCGGGGGACGCATGTGGACGGTGGCACTGGGGCCTTCGGTGGAGCTCTCTATGGGGCAACGAAACGTGTGAGGGGTGTGCCGACATGGGTGCGGGGGACATATGTGGGCGGTAGCACTGGGGCCTTCGGTGGAGCTCCCTATGGGGCCACGAACCGTGTGAGGGGGGTGCCGACAATGGGTGTGGGGGACGCATGCGGGCGTTGGCACAAGTGCTTTCGGTGGAGCGCCCTATGGGGCCACGAAGCGTGTGAGGGGTACCGAAATTGGTGTGGGGGACGCATGTGGGCGGTGGCGCTGGGGCCTTCGGTGGAGCTCCCTAGGGGGTCACGAAACGTGTGAGGGGTGATGAAATGTGTGTTGGGGATGCAAGTGGACGGTGGCACTGGGGCCTTCGGTGAAGCCCCCTGTGGGGTCACGAAACGTGTGAGGGGTGTGCCGACATGGGTGCGAAGGACGCATGTGGATGGTGGCATTGGGGCCTTCGGTGGAGCTTGTGTGAGCGGTGTGCCGAACTGAGCGTACGGGGGGACGCATGTGGACGGTGGCACTGGGGCATTCGGTGGAGCTCCCTATGGGGCCACAAAACGTGCAATGGGTGTGCCGAAATGGGCGTGGGGGCGCATGCGGACGGTGGGGCTGGGGCCTTCGATGGAGCTCCATATGGGGCCACGAAGCGTGTGATGGGTGTGCCAGAATAGGTGTGGGGAGCACATGTGGACGGTAACGCTGGAGATTTCGTTGGAACTCCCTATGGGGCCGCGGAACGTTGCAGGGGTGTGCCAAAATGGGCGTGGAGGACGCATGTGGGCGGTGGCACTGGGGCTTTTGGTGGAGCTCCTTACGGGGCCACGAAGCGTGTGAGGGGTGTGCCGAAATGAGTGCGGGGGACGCATGTGGGCGGCAGCACTGGGGCCTTCGGTGGAGCTCCCTATGGGGCCACGGAGCGTGTGAGGGGTGTGCCGAAATGGATTGGGGCATTCGGTGGAGCCCCTTATGGAACCACGAAACGTGTGAGCGGTGTGCGCCAATGGGTGTGGGGGACGCATGTGGGCGGTGGCACTGGGGCCTTCGGTGGAGCTCCCTGTGGGGCCGAGGCACGTGTGAGGAGTGTGCCAAAATGGGTGGGGGGGGCGCATGTGGACGGTGGGGCTGGGGCCTTCGGTGGAGCTCCCCATGGGGTCACGAAGCGTGTGAGGGGTGTGCTGACATGGGCGCGGGGGGCGCATGTGGACGGTGGGACTGGGGCCTTCGATGGAGCTCCCTATGGTTCCACGGAGCGTGTGAGGGGTGCCGAAATGGATTGGGGCATTCGGTGGAGCCTCTTATGGAGCCACGAAACGTGTGAGCGGTGTGCTGCAATGGGTGTGGGGGACGCATGTGGGCGGTGGTGGCACTGGGGCCTTCGGTGGAGCTCCTTGTGGGGCAACGAAACGTGTGAGGGGTGTGCCCAAATTTGTGTGTGGGGGGGGGGGCGCAGAAGGAGGAGTGAGGAACGTGGGGCGCTGTCTCTTCAAAACGAGGACCCAGCACCACGGGATGGTTGGGAAAAAGGAACAGGGATAGTCAAGGTGACCGCAGCAGGAATGTGGGCAGGTGATGTGATACAGAAACCGAAGAGCAGCCAGCAGGGGCACAGAGCGTGCGCTCCCCTGGTTAGGAGGAGAATGGAAGGATATCACCTCCCTCCTCCTCCTCCTCCTCCTCCTCCTCCTCCTCCTCCTCCTTCTCCGCACCTTATTCTCCTCCTCCTCCTCCTCATCCTCCTCCTCCTCCTCCTCCTCCGCCTCCTCCTCAGCCTCCTCATCCTCCTCCTCCTCTGCCCCCTCCCCCTTTCCCTCCTGCCCCTCCTCCTCCTCCTCCTCTTCCTGCTCCTCATCCTCCTCCTTCGCTTGCTCCTGTCCAGGCCGACCCGCTCCTCCCGCCCCCTGGGTGCCGGGTCCAGCGCTGCGTGCTAAAGTCACCGATGCACGCGCTGATGGACGGCAGGAACTCCTGCGCCTTCCGGCCGCAGTGCACGGAGGTGACCGCCCTGGGCGGCGCCCCCGACCCTGGCCCTGAGGAGGGGCAGCGCGGCCACTGCGCTGCCCCGTGCTTGCTCCCATCGCCTCCCTCGTCCTCCTCGCCGCCCTCCTCGCCCTCCCCCGCGTCGTCTTCGTCGTTGTCATCCTCCTTATGCCGCTCCTCCTCCTTCTCATCGCCCTCGTCTCTGCCCTCGTCCACCTCCTCCTCCTCCTCTCCTCCTCCTCCTCCTCTCCTCCTCCTCCTCCTTCCCTCCCCCTCGGAAAGAACGAGGAAAAGATGAGGAGGTAATGCTCCTCCCTCCTCCTCCTCCTCCTCCTCTCCTCCTCAATATTCTCCTCCTCGTCTTCGTCCTCCTGGTCCCCCTCTTGCTCTTCCTTCTCTCCTCCTCCTCCCCCTCCTCCTCCTCCTCCTCCTCGCCTTCTCCTCTCCTCCTCTCCTCCTCCTCCTCCTCCTCCTCCTTCCTCCTCCTCCTCCTCCTCCTCCTCCTCCTCCTCCTCCTCCTCCTCCTCTCCTCGTGCTCCTTCTCCTCCCTCTTCATACACATTCACGCACCTTCCGTGGCCACAGATCAGTCGAATCGATTGCGCGACCGAATCTGCTCGGAACCAGGGGAAGAAGCGGGTCTTCCCCAGGCGCTGGATCGAAGCGCACATCGGGGCACACGGTTGAATCAGTCGGTTCGTAGACAGACGTGTCCTCCCTTGTCCGCCCACTGCGAGGCAGGAATCTGCGCCCATACACCGCCCAGGGAATCTCTCCCAGGACTCCGAGGACGGTGGGTATAATCACACGTTGGGCCCCGGGGGGCCCGAAACTACCGCCCCCGAGATCGGGGAAGATCGGATCCCCAGGCGGTGGACATGTATACCTATACAACTCACCGCCTCATCTTCTCGTCCTCCCCTCCCACCCTCCACCTCCACTCACCTCCTCTCTCCTCGACCCCCTGCCCATCCTCCCTCGTCCCTCATTCCTCATCGTTGTCCAACCTCCCTCCTCCCCTCCACCTCCCTCTCCATTTACTTCTGAGGAACCTGCCTGGGTTCCGTGGACATGGGGGGGACTACAGCACTGCATACATGCTCTCAGGCGGTGTCCAAGTCACGCCGGATGCAAGGAATCCTGTCGGCAACTTGCATGTTCTCCAATCAAGTTTAAATCACAGTAGTGCTGCACCTCCGAGACGCCCGAGAGGGTTCTATGAGGAGGGAGACGATGGCAGAGGGACGAGGCGGACAAGGAGGGAGTGGTGGCAAGGATACGGAGGAGGTCGAGGAGTGAGCACTCGGTCTTCGTTCCTAAGGAGTAAGCGCGAGCGCTGAACGTCATGCGATGTGGCCTCAATGCGACTCAGCCTCAACGAAATCGGGTTACGAGCAAAACGGTCGCGGCCGGCGTGGTGGCGGAGCTACCCGTGATCATGACCAGGAGGCGAGCGCCGCTTCGCAACGGCTTCGGGGGGAGGGCAACATGTTCTGCCCGACGAGCCGCCGCCGCGCCACGATAAACATCAAATGCTTCATGGAATGGCGCAGTGGTGCGACATCACTGCCGGAAACAACGGGCGCAGACACGAACGTGGCCGCGGTGAAACTATGCACATGTGGATGTCACGCACTTTGCACGGACAGGCCTGCTTATTGTAGTTGAGGGGCACACTGTTGGCTCTGAGACCCTGCGAATGCACACATGCGCTCACACAGCCCCCCCCATTCTGGGGCGTCGCCACGCCATGCCATGTCATGCTACGCGTTAATATTCAACACCATGCTATGCCATGTGATGCTAGGACATGCTGCGACATCCGATTGTGCAATAGGGAGGAGATTTGCGCCATGGTAAGGGATGGGGGGAGGGGTTGGACGTCAGATATGACGCGAACGCACCTAGCCTGCCTCCTCCTCCTCCTCCTCCTCCTCCTCCTCCTCCTCCTCCTCCTCCCCCTCCCCCTCCCCCTCTTCCTCCTCCTCCTCCTTCTCCTCTTCCTCCTCGTCCTCCTCCTCCTCCTCCTCCTCCTCCTCCGCCTCCTCCTCCTTCCCCTCCTACATTCGCCGTCCTGTTCTCTCAGGTTCGCGCCTTCTCTCTGTCTCTCCCTCTACCGTTTTGCCTCCTGCGTATCGTCACGGTCATGCCCCCGCCCCTCCTCCCGCGTCCCTCCTCGCCGTGCCCCTTCCTGCCCCTCCATCGACGTTCGCCCATTCTGCCCCTCCCTCGTCCTGCGCCCCCCCTTCCCCTCCTCCGCCCTCGCCGCCCAGTCCCCGTCGTCCACGCCCTTTCGGCTCGCCCCCCAAATCCCCCCCCACCCACACACACATCTCCTGTAGTTCCAGACGACCGAGATCACCAGGGTCAGCCTGCGGGTTGGCAGGGGGGGGGAGGGGCAGTGAGCCCTCCTCCTGCTGCCTGAGTATATGGCGGGAACTTTTTTCGCGAACAGGCAAGAAAATACTTGAGGCCAACAGTTGCGGCCCATAAATAGCAACGCTCGAATTCCCAACCAGCGTTGCCCACCCGGTCGCATGGCCGTGTTCGCCCCCGTCCTCAGCACATTTAGGCCGAAAGCGCGACGGGTGCAACACTGATCCATAGCGAATTGAAGGACTGACTGCATTCATGATGAGCATGTTAAAACATAAAACCGCATCGGGCAACTGGATGAAGATGCCCCCCTTGGCCTCGGCGTTGAAGTATGCCCGCCCAACATCTATCAGCGCAGCCTCTAGCCCTCGCACGCCCCCCGCGACGATGCCCTGGCCCTTGGGCAACAGCCACAGAGAGCCGCAGGTCGTGGGCCCCCGGCGGCGGGCGCGACTGCACCGAGCGCGCTGAAATCGGGGAGACGTAAGACCCGGGTACGGGGGACTCGGAAATCCCCGACGAGGTCGTCAAAAAAATGACGAGGCCGAGGCTGCATTTTGACGAGGCCTCCCGCTGCAGACACCCCACGAAACTCCTCCCCGTCAAAATCCGAGTCGCGGTCGTCAAAAAACGATGGCGAACCCGAGTCCCGGCAAACCCGGGTCTTACGCTCCCCCGATGAAACACAGGCCGGGATCGGTCCTCAAGATTTGTCTCGCCCCCCCTTCTTGATGCCAGTCCACCTCGTGCCACGGGGGCCCTGCGCAGCCGCCCAGCGTTTTCCTCCTCCTGTACCTGGCCGCAGACCTCACACTTCCCAAAAAAACACACCATCCTCCTCCAGGGCTGTTGACGCGAGCTCTGGGTCGAGCCCGCCCGTGGACGCAGCGCCCCCCGCCAGCGCTCCTCCTTGTCAGCGACGAACTACGCGTGCGTCGCCTCCAGTGACTCGTCGCACCTCGTCAGTGCCCCCGCGCGCCTCGCGCGCCCCCGGAACTGTCAACCACCCCTTGTGTTGCCATGCTCCACAAGTCCATTGGCGAGGCTGGGGTGCCTCGGGCAGCTCGGTCGGCGAGTGCAGCGGCGGTGCTGCGCGGCCCCCACCCGAATTCCCTCCTGCGCGCCTCTCCTCTGACCTCACTCGCCCCGTGTCCGCGAGCACCTGGCCGGTGTCCGAGTCCGGGGAAACTCTGCGCAGGCGCGCACTCCGCATTTGACTGCCTTGCAGCCGCACGCAGGAAACCACCAACATACAAAATGTTCAGATGACTTCTGGCGTCTGGGTCGCTTGCGAACTGCGTGCGCCCTCTGGCAATTGATGCGCCAGCGTGCGCATGCGAGGTATCTCGGGGCGACGGCCGCGCTCCATTTTTCAAGTGAAGTTCTTCTGCACTTCCCCCGTCGACTGCATAGCCATGCAGTGCGCGGCGAGATCACGGCGGGCGCCGCTTGCGCGGGCGCGCGCCCTTCGACTCCTTCGGCCCCAAGCTTCGCTGGGGCAAATCTGCGCAGTGCGTGGGTATGTGGTCTGATTCGCCCTTATGATTCGTGCGCGCAGGTGCTGCTCCCCGGTCTCGTTCGCGCCCCCGCCCCAAACTGCGGCGGCCGCGCGTTGTCCATCCTTCGCAGCGCTCGCGCCGCCACCCCATGGGCGCGCCGCTTGCCCCCGCGAGCCCATCCCGTTGCCCGCGCCTCGGTTGCCTTGCGTCGGGCCGACGCTCAATCATCCCGTGCGATGCGTTGTGACATAGGCAATGATCGCGTAACTCGGGTCGGGCGAAAGGGGGGATAGCAAAGGGGGGGTTTGAGAATCAGCTCACGTAGCTGATTTTCCCGGCGCCTCCCGGCGCCGGGAGGCGCCCATGTATCGAGGAATGGGCCCCTCGGTGAGGCCGAAACCAGCTGCATGCAGCAAATTTCGTAACCCCCCCTTTCCCAATCCCCCCCTTTCGCCCGGCCCGAGTAACCAAGCTTGACATGGCCAAGAAGAGTGCCACATGTTCCGATCAGTCATTGCCGGTTCCGTCGACGCTCCGAGGGGGAGGGGGAAGACGGGGGCTGGGCAAGGCAGAAAGGGGAGGAGGACCACGAATAAATGGACGAACGATGGAGGAAGAGGGCGAGGAGGACTACGACGACGAGGAAGGAAGGACGGAGGAGGGAGACGGAGGACAGAGGTGGAGCGAGAGGGGGCAGGACATGGAGTGACGTGGCTTGGACGATGCATCTCGCCCGCTCGCTCGGGAAAGTCGCCGTCGCCGCTCCCTGGGCCAGAATCTCACCGGGCCTTCCGGGGGCTTGGCAGACCACCTCGGGCGCTTTTGTCGGGCGCGCCCTGACGTCTCTGTTTTGTTGGGCATCTTCGAATTTGCGGGGTCTTTTTCGTCTGCCGCGGGCGCCTTCAATTTTGCCGTCCATAAAACAGAGCGTTCCAGAGCGCTCTGTTTAAAATCGGGATCGGGATCAAGATCGGGATCGGGATAAATCGCGAGCGTTAAAAAATAGGATCGGGATAAATCGCTCCAGAGCGTTCCGGAGCGCTCTCAGAGCGTTCCGGAACGCTCTGGAGCGGCCGCGGCGCCCAAGACATCCTCCAAACCCGCCGGTTCTCAGAGATCTCGAGTTATCCCGATCCGATTTCGCCCCGATCTTCGCGTCGTTTTAGTCCAGGTGTCTCTGGAAGGTGCCCGGGCCAGCTCGGGGGCCTCTCGGGGGGTTCTGGGCTGCCCGAGGCCTGGAGCGGGCCTTTTTGGATGTCCGCTGGGCGTCTTTCGGGCTGCCTTGGCGGCCGCGGGGGTTGCCCCGATTACTTCTTGGAAGCTCATCGGGGGGCATTCCGGGCCGCCCCGGGAGCCCGGTGGAAACGCGAAGAAGGCGGCGCCGGAATCCCCTGGCCTTTCGGGGGCCGCCTCAGAGGCTGCAGATGGCCAAACGTGCTCTGTAATACGGCTGCGGTTGCACAGTCGCGCCTCCGGTTTGAGGGGCGAGCACTGAACGCATTGAGCCGTTCTGGGGGGTTCTTGGGTCGCGCTGGCAGATCCTGGGGACCATTCAAACCTTCAGGGGAACGTCTTGTCGGGCATCCTGGGTGTTTTTTGGAACGCCTCCTCGAGTCTTTGGCGGCCTCTGTGGCGGCCTCGCGGGTTCATTGGAAGCGCGTCGGAGTTATGTTTGGCAATTTTGGGGGCGCGTCAGGAAAAACACATCGAGGGGGCAGCGCGAAACGCCTTGGCCTCGGGGGGCCCTCTGGGCAACGGCAAACACCAGCAACATGCGTCGTGCTACGACAAGGCTTGCACGTCGGAGTTTCTGGCCATAGTTACATGAAGCGTTTGAACCGCTTCTGGGGAGGCCCTCGCCTCGGGGGGACGAATCGGACGCCACCAAAGAGCGCCGTCACCCGGAGTATCGCGCACTCGGGACGGCAGTCGCCAAAGCGCGCAGCGTGCCGGTTTCGCGCTCGTCAGGAGCAGGATATTCGGCAGGGCGACGTCCCTGGGCGCTGCTAGTTTGAATGATGTTCGGGCTTGCTGGATGGCGCCGAAGGGCCTGGAGCGACGGCGCCGGCGGATTTGCGTTGATGCGGCGGTCCCCACATCTGAACTTCAGATTGGCCCTATCTGAAATTCAGATTGGACCTGTCTGAATTTCAGATTGCCCCCCAGGGGGGGCTGCCCCGAGGCGTTTTGCTCGAAGCTCCAAAGCTGAAATTATTCAGATTGGCCCTTTCTGAAATTGAAATTCACTTTGGCCCTGTCTGCAACTCAAATTGGGTCCGTCAGAATATCAGGTTGGGCCGTTCTGAAACTCAGATGCGGGGGCCGCCGCCTCGGCGCCGAATTCGGCCCAGGCGCCGTTCCTGGGAAGCCCAGCGCGAGTCTGTGAGCGCCCCAAACCTGTGCGCGGAGGTACGGAAGGAGGACGGCGACAGGCCCCAGCTATCCTGTGGTGTTGGGTCCTCGTTCTGCAAAAAACAGCGCCCCGCGTCTCCTCCCCCCCTCCCCCCCCTCTCTTCCCTCCCTCCCCGCATCCAGTTCGTCGCGACTCTCGCGAAGATCGCGGCCCACATGGAGCTCCACCGAAGGCCCCAGCGGCAGGGTCCGCGCGAGGGTTCCGCGCCAGTCCTGGCGCACCCCTCACGAGGATCGCGGCCCTACATCTGGGGCCCCGCCGAAGGCCCCAGCGGCAATGTCCGCGCGCGGGCCCCGCTTCCATTCCGGCACACCCCCTCACGGTGCCGCAGGGGGGGGGAGGAGGAGGAGGAGGAGGAGGAGGAGGAGGAGGAGGGGAGGAGGAGGAGGAGGAGGAGGAGGAGGAGGAGGAGGGGAGGGAGGAGGAGGGAGGAGGAGGGAGGAGGAGGAGGAGGAGGAGGAGAAGGAGGAGGAGGAGGAGGAGGAGGAGGAGGAGGAGGGGGAGGATCGTGGCCCCATAGGGATCTCCGCCGAAAGACCCAGCGGCAGGGCCCGCACGCGGGCTCCGCACCGGTCCCGGCGCACCCCTCGCCAGGATCGCGGCCCCTCGGGGAGCTCCGCCGAGGGCCCCCGCGGCAGAGTCCGCACGCGGGCTCCGCATCCACGTCGGCACGGCCATCGCGAGGATACCGGCTCCGCAGGGGGCCCCGCCGAAGGCCCCAGCGGCAGGGCCCGCGCGTGGGCCCCGCATCAATTTCGGCACGCCCCTCACGAGGATCGTGGCCCCAGGGAGCTCCACCGGAAGCCCGCAGCGCGGGGTCCGCACGCGGGTTCCGCGCCCATTTTCGGCACACCTCTCACGAGGATCGTGGCCCAATAGGGAACTCCACCAGAAACCAAAAACGCGGGGTCCGCGCGTAGACCCCGCGCCCATCCCGACACGCCCCTCACGGGAATCGCGGCCCCATAAGCAGCTCTAGGCTATCTTCTACGCAGAGGGCCGCCGTGAACTTCTCCGCGAGACCGCGGTGTCGGGTTCCCTTGGCTCCCAGCGCAGAGCGAAAAACGAAAGAGAAGGCCATCTTG